GCTTCCGTAACCGCCTGTACGGCACAGTGTTGTGGTTTCCGTAAGTTATAAGCAAGTGCTGTGCGCCCAGGTCTAGCAAATACTTCAGCCGCAACAGCTTTGTGGAACCCACACGCCCAATAAAAGTGATTGGTACATACTGCCGAGCAACCGGACGTCGCATGGTCCCTTCTTTTACCAATCTGATGTGTCGGAGCCCCACGACTGCTTCCATCCACTAACGGTAGTGAGAACAACGACCGGGCAACAAACAATGTTCAAGCCGCACGCCAAACCGGCCACCAAGCGTCTGTGTGTGCAACTCAATCACATGATTCAAATTAGGACATAGACCATGCAGAAAGGTTGACAATCGATCAAGCAAAGCTAGTCATTCCAGGGGCGAAGGATCGATACGGTGTCTCAGGTACGAGCGAAATGTACAGAGTAAGGTAAAAGCCATTAAGCATAAGATTCATTGTCAACCCAAGCTAGTCACAAAGGTAACAGAAAACATACGTGGGGAACCGTAACAAAGGACGAGGTGAATAAGGGTGAGTGGAATAAAACTCACAAAACAACGGGGGTGGTGGAGTATTCTTACCTCCGTTATAACACCTCTCTCTCCACAGTTTTCCACAGTGAGGTAGAACCGCCTCAATTGGTTTGCTCGGTATCTAGCATGTTCGAATAACAAGGTATAGCTTACCAACCTTTATTATCCTGCAGCTCCTTAGGTGACATTGCACTTATTGGTCATCCCCACGGAAACATAACGCCGGAAATAGGAAACGCGACAGTGCATGTCATATGATCACAAAGCACTGACCAATATTTGGCAAATTCTAACCTTGTTCATGGAACTCATCTTCAACTTATGGAATGGCGTTTCATGAAGAATATCGTGTAAACTTCGATCTGCGTGGGAAACTCGATTCCTCACTATTAATTTCCGATTTTCCGATTTTTGTCACAACAGGATGTGTTTCACTTTGCTTGCAAATCATCCTCATCTTGCCTTGAAATGGTTATAAACACACTGGGCACCGCGAGCCCTTTCAAGGCATGTCATTGGGTTCGAGGAAAAGTCACTCTTGTTCGTCTTTCTTATCACCTTACGCCCAAGTTAGATAATCGTATGATCCAGTTAGGTTTCCTTACGTAAGTTTTGTGGCATAGCAGGTAGGCTGAAGACATTAAATCAGGAGAAACTCGATAACTCGAATTTTGACTATTCGACACTGTACTGGTCACATTGCTCCACAACTCGATCATTGCTGAGGCTGAGAAGCAAATATAGTCGATCTAGAATGGTTTGCACGGGCCGGCAGATGAACCATTGAAAACAATTGTTTGACAGACTGGTGTCCTCATTAGGAAATATTGTACGTTACGGAATTTTCCACGCTAAACTACAAAGCAGCAGAATTCTAAATGAACAGATACATTTGTAGGTTTGCCGACAAGCGGTACACTGTCCCCAAGCGGGAAAACTGTAATCATTGTACTATATATACAAATATATATATATATATATATATCGACTGTACGAGTTACAGTCCAACTACGTGGTCTGATCATTCAGTACAACAGGATCGCAAAGAACAGATGTTATGCCAAACTTATTAAAATGAATCAAGGGAGGCAGAATCTGAGTAAAGAATTCTTTTCGGCAATTCTCATCAGACTCAAACATTACATGATGAGGAAAAGTGCTAAATGTGCCGGATTGGGCTGCGTATTGAACAGAATGTTTAATTCCACGGGTACAAATCAATAAATCACGGGGTCATTGGGAGTGGCAAGTATGTACAGGGGAAATCATAGCCAAGTTGTAGGCCACGGTAGAAGCAAAGGACGTACAAACTGTTCTTGTACGCACAATTCTGGCTTGAGGTGGCGGATGTAGATAGCTTCCGCAATAGACAGAATATGCATCCGGAATGCGCGCGTGAAACGTTCAGGAACAGCATAAATGACTCTAAAATCATTTTCTGTTCCTGCATGACTGCACTCTAGTAGGTGGGATAAGATGGAATTGTTGCTGGACCTCGCTTCGTCTTTGTAAAACCACTTTGGGAGGTGTTCGCGAATCCTATGAGATAGGCGCCTCGTGGTACGACCCACGTATCGTGCCCCACAGGAGCACGAGTAAAGATCAACAAGCATTGATCGAGTCACCGGAGGCAGCCTGTCTTTCAAATCAGGTTTCTGGTCTGTTCAATCGGTAGAAAGAGCTTTTCATACGTTGGTCGCACGACAAGATGCCTATATCAGAGGATTCGTGAACACATCCCGGCATGGTTTTACAAAGGTGAAATGAGGTCTTCAGACAGCTCAATCACGTCGCGCCTCCTTGAATGTGGCCACAAAGCTTCGGAGAATGACTTCAAAGTCATTTATTCACTACCTGAACACTACACCCAAGGATTCCGCAAACAGCTCTTATCCATCGCCGAGGCTATGTCCATTCACCATCTGAAGCCGGAATTGAACAATGAACAATGAACAATGATTTATCACGAGATAAAAGCAAGTGCTTGACATGTCCCGTAGGATGGTAGCGGTGAATATGATGCAATTAAAATATGTGTGGGTCATCTATCGAACGTCTGCCGAGATGAATACTTTGATGATTGACATCAGTGTAAAAGGAAAAAGAAATATCGCGCGTAAACATTCAGAAAGACACTGGGGCGCTGTGATAGTTGAGGTAAGGAGTGAGAAAATAAAATATGGATACATAAACGATTCATGCGGCCGATACTACTACCTTGGCCAACGGACACAGTTACTTAGTTATTTGGCTGTTCTTTTACCTACTTAATTACTTTGGACTACTGAGCTTTGCGTATGTATGTGTATTTAGTTTACTTGGTTTACCATCGCTATCTCTGTCTCAAGTTATCGATTTTGATCATTCAAACAGTCCAGAAGTAAATCCCAGCCAGAGTTGACGCTTACCCCACACTGTCAGTGTTTTGTAAACGTTCGGGTCCGAGGAGAGTTGCCGAAAAGAATTCTTCGCCCTGAACTGATTTCTGATATTGATTCATATTAATAAAAAAAGGAGTTTGAAAGTAGGATGCAAGTGAATATTGAGAAAAGCGCAGTAGATTCACTACGGTTATCCGTGGAACAGACTCCTGGGAACCTGTTTCCAGGAGCAGTAGTCCATCGAAAGCTTTCATCCGCGCTCCCACGTCCTATTTGGCTTCGGGTCGCCTTGGCATAACAGCAAGCGAGCCATCAAAATACTAACTCGTTTTAATGGCCTTGTTATATATAATGAGTAATAGGCTGGCAGAGATAAATGAACTTTCTGTTTTTTATTTTTATACTCTTTTAAGCCCATTTCGGCTTCCGACTCGAAAGAGTCGGACACTTTTTTACTCTCTGTGTCTGTGCCAACCTGCCTTGAGGAGGCATTTCTTTTCTCGCCAGTAGGTCTAACACTTCGCCACACTAGGGTGTATTAAATAATCCGGGAGCTTCATTCGATCATCTCAGGAGATCTGTTCAGTCGTGGCCAACAATGGAAAAGAAAAGTAGGGAATGTTGCGAAATAAAAATATTGCTAATTGAATGATATATATCCGACAGGCTCTGCTCCAGGTTGTACAGAGAAAACTGAAAACTAAAATACTGCTCCATAAACGCTTTTGAGATAGATCCAACGACTCCATGCAATGGTTGTAGAGTAATTTATATGGAAAAATGTGTTTCGTAGTGTTTCAGGAGCTGCCACGGATAGTCGAGTTGTATTCTCCAAGGAAAAAGAGAAAACAGTTAGCAGTGCGCAGCAAATGCAAAGAGTTAAAAAACTATCAGCTTTGCATTTGAAGACTAAAAAATTTCAAACATTCATACTTCGGTGAAAACTTTTTTTCGGTGTTTTACTACAGCTTAGCGGACTCTGAAAGTTCAGCACTGCTATTTAGATAGCTTGCATAGTTCCAGTATCATTGTGTGTGACTTAGTTTCCAACCTTGGATTATAAATACCGCTGTGAGTAAGCATGTTACTCAAGATTACTTTCTTTTAAACAAAGCTTTAATACAAATCAAAAAGACCTCGAACTTGCCTCACCAAATACCTCTATCGCCTGATCTCATGAAATTGCCCCTCAAATTGGTCTTAATCCTTCTTCTCCCTTCGACTTAATTCACCCACTCTCGGGATGACCAGGATAGGGGGTGGGGAGAAATTTAACGGCCGAAGTATATGCGGTCGAATGGCTGTCGCGCCGACTGCTCCAGCACTAGTCACTGGCGCTTAGCGCTGGTGGGCAATCAACAGCCTGGCCAACTAACTCTCACATGACCAGGACCTTGGGCTGCAAGTCACCATCGATTTGACAAGGTCATTTGGGGTAGTACCTGCTTTCTGCGCAGTGGGCGCCTCAGACTGGAAATGAGCCGACGGCAGTTTCGATCGTTGTTTCAGCCCTTCCAGGAGCTCGGCCGGATATGAGTATAGAAGAGGACACCGAAGGTAATAATCACATTAGTCGAATTGTGACCACCGAGAAACTGAACCAGTTCAGAATCACTTGTTTCTGATGCCCGCAACGTCACAGGAGGCCCATCGACTATCGTTTTTGCAACTTTCAGTTGGAATGTTACTTTATCCTGGCAGAAGGCCATGGATATAAAAGAGAAAGGGCCCAGTGGAGTTCTGTCAGTTTTCCGTCTGCAAACCACCCCAGAAGCCGGAGTGCTCCAGAACTAAGTTCACCATCTTATCATTGTTTTGGAAATGATGGATTCTCTTTTACCAGGCCGTTGGTAGGTGGACCGTAATAGTCCTTCGGTTCGTGTTTGCACGTGCTATCTGAGCTTGGGACTCATTAACTATCGCTGACTCATGGGTAAAGAGTCTGGTAGAGACTTCTGTCAGCGGTTGAATATGCTCGTGGTGCACCATCACGGAACTGAGTTCAGGAGACGCAGTGCCTTTTATCAGTTGTCTGATGCATACTTTCTGTGTCATGTTAAGCTGAGCACCTTGTTGCCTTTCAGCTACTCCAAACCCAATTGTTCACTAACGAAAGTCGGAATACGGTGTATACTTTGACTCAGTCTCCATCCATTACACAGTCTGAACATGCGGTTCAACCAAACGCACCGTCATCGAGAAATGAACTAAATGGTCTGCGAAAACAGCGCGGCGATTTTCTCGCTCAACTCGGTGACCTTCGGTCCGAAGTGAATAATGTCAAGCACAACGCTTCCATCACGGAGCAGACGCGCCGCAAGCTAGAATGGAAACTGGACAAGGTGCAAACGGATTCAAGGAAAGCGCTGGATGAGCGGGACGCCGACCTTGAGGGTTTACGCACCACACATCACGAACATATCCGTCAACTGGAACAACAGTTGGGCGATGCGCAAGCAGAATCCGCAAAAGAGAATCGAGATCGACTGCAGATGCAACACGATTTCTCTACACTAAGTGCCGAGTTAAAGGCTACGGCTTATGACGATGCAGGTGCGCACCGTATAACGATCCCAGAGACATATAATCATATCGTAGACATCATCTTTCTTCATCCATACGTAGTTTGTTTTCACCTTATCATTCGGTCAATTGGTCTGTTCACTGTACAGGGACGCACGCCTTCGTTTGACGCTCTAGTACAAATCCATATGAACTTATAACGTTGCTGATACCACTTTCCCGTTCCCCTGTAAAATTAGAGCGAAAATTATGCAAAGAAGTAAAACGGTTAAAAAATCTGTTGACAGAGAAGGAGGCTCTTTTGGAACACGTGCTTCAACAACCACACACGGACCGCAGCCACATCAACCAGTTACGCTATAGAGTAAGTAGACAATATCATGTTATTGCTCCACCACAGTTAACGTGGTTCATTGTATGGACGATACAGCTCTGTTTGCAGCCTCAGCTCACGTAACTTAACTGACGCTCTGTGATCCGCTCTTTTGATACTGCCATCTGAACTCCCTCTATCGGATATTGAATTTTCTCGCGTTCGTAGTCAGCATCATTCAATCTGGCTTTGAAGGCACTATGGATTCCGTTATTTGGATCTACTTTGCCCCTTCATTATAGATCGATGAAGCGGATGAAACGAATGCGACACTCAACCGACAGAGACGCGCACTACAGGTAGAATTGGATGATGCCCTGAATCAGCTTTCAATCTCAAATCGAAGCAGGAAAGAGGTGAGTGCTTCTTCTTAGTCAGGACGTCCGATGGATGATTCACCTACCATAGCTACGGCAGTACTCCGGTCGCCGAAAGTAGTCGTGGCCATGAAATAGCAGATTTACTTCGCGATAAGTGAGCTGAGTATTCTCAGCATGGCCATTGGCAGTAAGTGCACCTCCGTGGGACACGGTTTTCTTCGAGAAACGAATAATTTGTAAGATTTCTACTCAACATGGAGCCTGAGGGTTGCAGCTACGTAGAGTTATTTGATTTCACTTATTTCGGGATGTTTGCTTTGTTGTACAATTAGAGTCGAGGTAGCTGACTTCTGATCAATATCCAGCAACCTCTGGAGGTGCATCAGTCAAGGGTTGGTCCGTAGCCTAGAGGTAACGAACGTGAATTGTAATCTTGCGGCGCGCGTCCGAATCCGCATAGAGGTGGACGTCTTCGTGGTATACTCAGTCTGTACGCGACTGGTGGTGGTCGCACGGCAGCGAAGCGTCGTAACGCTGTACAGCTGACACATTAGTGTTATTATTACATCAGTCATGTCCTGGGTCTTCAGTTCCGCATAGCAGAATGTGGCGACAATTTGTGGGACAGCTTATTTTACATGTCATTTTATACGTGTAGAATCCCATTCTTTGGATGCTGGCAGCGTCAAGAAGCTGAAGCAGGCGGTGAGTGTCCTGTGTGACTTGCCTCCAAACATCGTGCAGTTGCAGTTAAGCAAACATTTAGTCTGGAGCATACTGCAGCAAACCTGTGCTGGACTTCACTCATACTACCGTAAGCTGACGTATGATTTCTCCAACCTTGTACACTCCTTCAGATATCTTGTGACATGAGTTTCTTGATTGCCAGGTTGGGGAACCTATCCGTCTGGCTTCGTGAAAACATAGATTTCAAGGTCATGATCATTTCGCTCACACCTGAGGAACAGGATGTTGTGTAGTCCTCCGGAACAAAACAAGTTTTGTGTTCTGATGAGAATCCGTCACCCAAAACGATCTCCCATTTGTCGCCTGCGTCGTCATCGACTTGATAGTGATTGTCCATCCTTTTCTTTTTGCGCCATTCCGTGAATCAAACTCCATTAACCGATGGTTGTTCTGCCTCTACTACCGCAGTTTCAAGTTAAACCAAAACGGCCACTCACGGTGACGTTCGAGTTTTTAAATTAGATCAGCCACTATATTTCCGGGTACCTAATCGAAGCTGAGTAATCGCAATGAATCATCGACCCCGGTGTTTGGAGGGCCTCGAGGTGCTGGTTTCCATCACACCCGGAGTCTGACCATCAGCTTTTAAATAAAGCGTTCTCACGTTTTTCCTCGGGAACCAGCTTAGCCTCAAACTGTCTGGGACTGTTGGCATTCTCGCTTTAGGAATTGGAAAGGAGATCCGGCTGATAAGTGGAATTTCATATCAGTTTACTGGCAACGTCCGTGAAAAACAAGTGAACATTTGTCCGTCACTCAACTATGGACCTTGATATTTGGGGCATTACAACGGTGAATGTATTCGCCTTGCTTAACGCATCGTGTACATTTTACTGAGATTAATTGGATAAAAGTATGTAGTAACAGCCGCTACTTGGTCAGAAAGTATCATGAATTCGCTATCGTTTCGTTTGATTTTGTACGCACGCCATTTCCAGCGTGTTCGTTGAATGCATATGATGAGGCAGTACCTGAATAATTTGACAGCTTTTCGAATCCCTTACGCATCTCTGACTCAGCCACATAATGACAAGGAGCTGATCGTTCAATAGGCATGATTACAGAAACGGTAAATGCACTGAGAACGCAATATTCCCCCGAAACCTTAGTAAGTCTTGCCATCAGGCGATCTTCTAGCTTTTGCTGCCCCTCGAAAGGACTCGCCTACCTATACTTTGTTACTAAGTCTGTACTGCGAAAGCTTCTCGTTAGTGGATACCAATCTTCCCATAGCATTGAGAGCAACAGGCCAAGAATTAGCAGACATTTTGGCTCAGTCTTTTCAACGGTACTTAGATCAGAACCGGTTTCTTGTCGTATAAAAGCCTGGAATGAGCACTCCAATCCACAAAGGAGGCAGTAGCACTAAACCTGTAAACTGCCACCGGTTCTGTTCAAGGGCATAGGATACATAATCGCGCAGGCGCTGGTGCAACGACAGGCGTTCCGCAGACCAAGTGTAGCTGCATTCCTCGAGTTCAAGAATGCCTTCGGCTCGGTTGATCGCTGTCCTGTTCGAATTATTAGCCAGAAAGAGTTCCGATGACCAATTCAAAGATTTTACGCAACCTGCACTTAAGTGTCTCTGATCGTGTCTGAGCTTACGATGTATTGCCAGACGTTATTGTGCCAACAAATGACATTTCGTCTGTGTAATCCCATTCCCTCATTCCCATTTGAGATTATCGTAGATCCCTCGGAGCCATATGACGCAGGGAAAACCGGTTGGTTTGGTGCAGACGGATGTCACTGTCATGTTGTTTGATAATCTCAAGATGGCACAGTCGAGTTTACATAGAGTCTGGAGTAGTCCCACCCTTTGGTATGCATTTTGCACCTTTATAGTGCATTGTGCCTGTACAGGACCACTAACTATTCTATCCCTTACTGACAGAGAAACGGAGATAAATGGTAATCGCATTAGCAGCAAGAGATGTATCACCACTGGTTTTAGATCACGTATTGTAAAGTTGAGCTACTTTCATGAATCCTCGCTATTTATGGCGCTATAAGGCAGTTGCACCTGCTATTAAATAACCTGGTTGCAAAACTACAGTTGAAAACGTTCTTCTCTATGCTAAATTCAATCGGTGGACCTGGGGATATTCAGGTCTTTCACTGGTGTTGACTACGAAACGACACTCGTGTCGGGTGGTTCTGTAGTGTTGGCAAACATAAGGTGTGCCGATGGTATTAAGTGTCATTTATACAGTCAATTTATTAGTGCCAAGCTACGTTTCATAAGTGACGTCGAACTGGGCGTTTGGTATGTATGTCTGCTAGCTGATTGTCGAAGAGGGACTTGTTTGCTTTCCCAATGTAGGATGGCGTAAGGCCCAGGAAGGACCACCATTGCGTTGGCAGTGAGGAGTTAAGCCATCGACCACCAAACTGGGTTCCATTGGTACGTCTCGACTCCCAGGTTGAAGTCCATGTGGCACACCCTGTAATTGGCTCGATGTCATGCAAAACATCGCTCACGACCAGCGGGGTCTGGTTGAGATGCACTTGATGGTGCGCGTTCTGCAAAATATGGTCGATCGTTGCATGAGGTTACATATACCTTACATGCAGCCCACCTTGTTCAACCCACCTTGTTCAACATTGTCACACCTATGGTTATGTGGTAGGGAAACATTAGTGCAAAATCCCATGTACAACCGCAGTAGTAGTTGTGGTTCTGGTTTATCTAATTTAGCTATTAACCCACGTCCATCTTGAGTTTTTCGGCGAGAGGATTAGCAGCTGGCGTGCTAAGTCGATGCAGGTTTGAGCTGCCATTTGGTTTGGACATATGCGCCTTTTAGTCGAGAACCTCAGTTCCGGTTGTGCTCCACCCGGTCAGTGTACCCACAGAACCGGTCCTGACCTTTCTAACATTGGTACAGATCCATCGGCATCCCCGTGTGCTTCACATGGAACTTGTATGCGACTTCACGGCTATAATGCACATCGCTTTACGGTCTTCTTCTCCAAGCCACTAATCGCACTACTGATCGGCGACGAGTCGACGAACCGGTTGATGTGCGGTTGGTACCGTGCGCATCGCAAGGAGACTGAATCTTACCGTGGTGCGATCGTTTGTGTGCCTCATCGATCCATCGAGCCATGTTGGGTGGTGATATTTCTGCACCTTCAGAGCCCAGCATACCAGATTGGTCAATGGTTAGAGGCCAGACAAACTCAACGTCCTGGTCCTCCAGTTTGGGGGTTGGAATGAGGGTGGCTCATTCTTCCTTAAAACGGATTCCTTGTAGTCTAATGCTAAACCCGCTGCTTCGCGGTCAGGTTTTTGAACCAAAGGCTTTGGTTGAGAACCCCGATTGTTCTCCTGTCTAGGCCTGCGCAACCTGACAGTATCCTGCTCACGTAATCCTATGCATCTTTTTCCAACAATTTCCTGGTTCTCTGGCCACCGCAGAGGATAATCAACAGCGTCCTATCTGCTGCAACGAGCAGGATGGATAGCGTTTTGGATGCTATTGCTCAAGCCTTCCCGTCTTCATTTCACCCCTCTTGCGCTTTTTCACCCCCTATCGTCTAGTTCCAACTTCATGTTTATCTCCTCATTTTCAACCCCACCCAATTCTTCGCCCTCCTCCACCACGCTTTGACAGACGTTTATCTTCTAGTTTCAACTCACAGGCAAAAGCCAATCGTCACTCTTGCCCTTTCAACAAACCCGTGTATAAGCAAGCGGTAAAATCCAGTTCCTCGGCTTCTATTTGAAGCCTCCGATCCTCTCTTAGATAGGCATTTCTCAACGTACACAGGTTTTTACAAATCGGTCAACAAGCAACACTTGCCCGAACATTAGAGATCCACTCGATCAATATCTGCTGTCTATCGGAAACCCAACTACAAGACCTGAGCTTTGTTCTCACTCTGTGATTCCCCTCAGGTGACACTAGCAGTGCTTTCTCATTGCGTCTATCCAGAGACGACGCATCTTCGAGTACCGGCCAAACCGGTGTTGGTGTTTCTCTAAGTCCTCGGGCTGAAGCTGTTCTGGTTGTATGGATCCCGATCAGTAGCCGGATGTGTGTGGTCCGATTGGCTGGCTCGTTTAAAACTTCGAAATCAAGCGGGGCTAATACGTGTCTGTTTATCATCGCTGCCTACACCCTCACAAACTGCAGCGATGCTTCCGTGAAAGACGACTTTTGTCAGCAACCGAACTAGCGCCTTCGCTACAGAAGATGCACGGACAGTTTTGCGCTTGCTGGGGATCCGAACGCTCAAGTTGAAAAATTGTCCACAGATGTGCTGCATCTGGGCGGCCAACATGGTGGGCGAATACTTCATTTGTGTGAAGATGCTCGCCTAATTCTTGCGAGCACTAACTTCCGACACAGCACCTGTCGGAAGATGACATGGCGCCCACCAGCCTCCAACCAGCCATGGACGCAAATCGATCAGATGGCCATCAGTTATCGCTGGAGAGACTGCGTCAGAAACTGTCCGATTTGGAGCACATGTGTGCGCACTGACCATGCACTGGTATGTGTTGATCTGCGGGTGCGTTTTGGCGGTCGCCTTTGACGATCCTGTGAGCGCATAGACACCAGCCAACTGGCGAAGCCACGTGTTCTCAATGTGTATCGAAGTGCTCTCACGTCCGGGTTGAGCAAGCGCTCACTGAATACCGTTGAAGGTCAATAGTCGCATGTTCAGCAGACCTTACATGAAGCAGGTAAATCATCATGTGATAAATCCACTAGCCAAAACAGACACTGAGTCTCTTCGGAGTCTCTGGGACTTATCGATACCCGCCGGCACATTCCGGCTGGAAGCAAACAACGAGACTCGCAAAAACATCAGGGCAAAACTCCTTGCTAGTCTGAAGAGAGACCGTGAAGCGTGGTGGTCTCATCGTGCTTCAGAGATGGAAGTGGCCGCTGCCCTTGGTAACCACCGGAAGTTGTTCCTTCTGCTACGGGAAACGGGCAGCATGAGACCTGGTGTTAATGAAACAATACGTGACGAGATTGGACAGCACATCCACAACTTGTCAAAATGTTTTAGGTGTTGGGCTGAGCATTTTGAAAACTAATTTAATCAGCCCGAATTGTTACATGCTTCACCGATCAGTGGTCGCCCTGTTCTCTGGGCTGTCCCTTTGGATCCGCCCTCTCGCTCAGAAGTCGAACGTGAGATCACAAAGTTGAAGTTAAATAAAGCCGCGGGACCAGGTGACCTACCTCCAGCCGTCTTCAAATTCGGCGGCCCTGCTCTTGTTGATGATTTACACGAATTACTATTGAAACTGTGGGAGCAGGAAACTGTCCCAATCGACTGGAGCCGCTCCGTTATTGTTCTGATCTACAAAGGAGGCTCGCGTTCGGAATGCGGCAACCATAGAGGAATCAG